AGAAATTAGATTGAACGCAAAACTAGGGTTTTAACCCTCTAAATTAAAGAAAAATGTTTTTTGTTGTTTTTATTTATTTTAAGAAAAGAAATTAAATCCTAGAATTTAAATGCTAAATTAATTAGTTATTAAATTAATTAATGAAAAATAATTAATGACATATTTTTGGAGTTTTTGTTATTTTAGGAAAGAAAATAAAATAATTAAATTCATTTTAAAACCTAATTATTCTATTTAATTTTAAATATTTGCAAAAAAATCATTTAAAGTTATCTAACATTAATATCCTAATTAAATTAATTAATATTTATTAACAAAAAATAAAATTCTAAAATTTAATTGGATAAAAAACATTTTTTGATTTTTTGATAAAAAAGAAAAATTAATTTTGGTTAGTAATTAAATAAATAATTAAATGAAAATAAACAAAATATATTAAAAAAAAGTAGAGAATGGGCCTGATTTTCAAGGGTGTCAATAGCAATTTTTTGGCCCATTTGTGAGGTCCATTTGACTTTTCTGATCCCATGCGTTGGGTTTGACTGGCTTGTGGTGCACCTTCAATGGTGGCCACCAGATCTGGCCATCTGGCACGCTTGATGCTGAAGGCACATGGTGGACATTAGGCTTGCATATGCATTGAATTACCTGAAAACAAACAAGAAAATAGAAAATTGCTGGAGGCAGAGATCGAACCCCTGATCTCCAGCCTCTGAATCCTTATGCGCTAACGTGGTTACCACTAGGCCATTTTCATTTTATTGTTAATATATCAAACACTGATGATAATATATAAAACAACGAAAATTGGAAAAACCAAAATAAAAACGCATGCTCGTTTTAAACAAGCCAATGGTGGGAGGACACTTCAGCATCTCCTTCCTCTGCACCGTGGCTAAAAATCCAAATGACTTATACCCACGGACATATATTCGTTGCTACAAACCAAGCATTCTTAAAATCTCCCACAAGCCATGGAAATGAATTCTAGTACCATGGTTGAGTTCGTCTCATCCTCCTGATTGCAACCATGCCCATTACTAGGGCCAATTATTCCTGAAAACAAAAACCCTAAAAAACTCCAAGAAACCCTAACAATGGTGATTCACGATATAAGCCATGTAAATGAAATTGGCTATTGTAAAAAGCTTGCAAATGATATGGTGATCAAGAATATGTCATTATTTTACACAATGGATGCAAGAATAAAGTTAATCCAAATCAAGAAAAGAGTGGTACCGTGACGGCCTTATTGCGCGCTAGAGGGCTTGAAAACGTGTGGTTTTGCTTGCTTTAGGTTCCTGAGATTGCCAGGAAGAGATTGAGACAATTGTTAAGCCTTGATGATTCCTCTAAGACCTGTTTCGATCTCACACTTTTTTGGGTATTTTTTCAGATTTTGTTTTTGCTCTATGCCTGATCTCCAACCCTGTTTTTGATATGCCTCGCCTCCTTATGTATTGTACAATGCATTAGGGTTGCAAATTCAGTCCAAATCCCTCTCCATCAATGCTTTGGATATTGATTTGATTCCCTTTAACAACCTTCCAAATTTGGCTTCTTTTGCAATCTTTTTGTACACAATTGCCTTGATACGAGTTTGATTGGTCCTAGCTGTATAATAAGACCTGAAATCATCACCAAATCCTTGGTTTCAATGTTTTTGGATTTTATTTGATTTAATTTTGATTTAAATCAAATTAATTCAAATAAAAGTCCAAATAATTAATAAAAATATGATATGGACAGGTGGCAAGGGCTGAAGCACGTGGGCTATGATGCCAACTTAAAACAAGTGAAAAAGAATTAGCCCATTTGGCAAAATTTGAAGTTTTGAGCATAGTTGACTTTTGGCAATTTTGCAAAAAAGTCTAACTTCAACAATGCATAACTTCCTCAATTTTGACTCTTTGGAGGTGTTCTTGGACTTTTTAGAAAGCTTGAGATGTCCTCTAAGCAAACCTTTTTGTCTCATCTCAATTTGATGTTCCATGCTCATGTATGAAGCTTTGATAAAAAATGTGTTTTTGTTGACTTTTCAAAATGACCTATAATGTCCAAATTCATAACTTCTTGTGAGTACATATTTTGATCTTTGGAGCTGAAGATGTATTGTATATAATTGCATCCACTTAAAAATGAGCTTTGGATGGGTCATTTCTCATAAAGTATGAGAAAGTTATGCTTGGTCAAAGTTGGGTTGACTTTTCCTGCAAAACCCTAATTTAGCAACTTTTGAGTCTTGATGAATTGTGAGAAATCTTTGATGAATCATGATCAACCCTTGATCAAATGATGAAATATACTTCAAAATGAGAATGTTGACCAAAAATCTTGAAGTTTAACTGTATGGGGGTCACAGTTGACTTTTGCCCTAGCATAGTCGATTTTTGGACCTTTGAGCAATTGACTGAGCAAACTTCCTCTGCAAGGCTTGAAACTTGACATGGATGATCTTGAGAACATATTAGGACATTGGTGAGCACTTGGGATCACTTGGAATCAAGGGTCTTGATGCAACATAAAACTCTAGTTTGGGATAGACTGCCTTAGGAGAGAGCTTGTCTGGCCAACCCTTGGGCTACCTTGAGCAACTTGAGGATCTTTCTTGAAATATCTTGAGAAATATGTGAGGGCAAATTTTGGGGTACAACAATATACTACTTTAAGTTCACTAAGTCTACAATTATTTTAACTTAACTAACTAATTAAATTATGGTATGTACTCATGCTAAGCCTTAATTTACAATCTTGTGCCTGAAGCACTAAATTATTAGAGAAACACCATGTGTCTATCGTCACATTTCTCATGCTTATCATAACCAAAAGCATGCCTATCATCACAAGAAAACCATTCACATCAGCTTAATAATCATGCCTATCATTACACTATAAAAGAATAATAATAAACTACTTTTAACTTACTAAGAGTACTAGTGGTAACATATTATAAAATAAATTGGAATATCCAAACTATGTCTGGCGATCATCTCACATGTGTTTCGATCGAAACTCCTTTATGTTTGCATGAGTCTGGGGAAAGTGTAGTACTTGGACCTGAACTTGTTCGAGAAACTACCAAGAAGGTGAAGTTAATTCGAGAGAAGATGAAAGCTTCTCAAAGTAGACAGAAGAGTTATCATGACAAGCGAAGGAAAGATTTAGAATTTCAAGCAGGTGACCATGTGTTTCTGAGAGTTACATCTATGACTGGTGTTGGGCGTGCATTGAAGTCTAAGAAGCTCACTCCTCGTTTTATTGGTCCGTATCAGATTTCAGACAGAGTTGGAAATTTTTCTTATAGAGTGGCTTTACCGCCTAATCTTTCAATTTTGCATGATGTGTTTCATGTGTCACAACTCCGAAAGTATATTTCAAATCTATCTCATGTGATTCATATGGATGATGTGCAAGTGCAGGATAGTCTTGCCATGGAGACGATGCCTGTACGGATCACGTATCATGAAATGAAGACTTTAAGAGGCAGAGATATTTCTTTGGTGAAAGTATTCTGGTTAGGAGCTGTCAGAGAAAGCATGACATGGGAGTTGGAGAGCAAGATGCGAGATTCCTATTCCGAGTTGTTTGAACAAGGTAAATTTTCGAGGACAAAAATATTCTAAGTGAAGGAGAGTTGTAACGCCTGATATTTAGTTAATTATTTAATTAAATACTTTTGAATTTATTTATGAAATTGGTTGATTTAAGTGGTAGAAATGATATTATTAATAATATTAGAATTATATAAAACTATTTATTTAGTGGGCTTAGTTGTTGTGTTGGTTATAGTAAAAAGTGAGGGTGTTGACTAGTAGGCCCAATAAGACTTAATAGAATAATAATATTATCATGATAAGAAAATAGGAAATATAGAAAATTAGGTTTTTGGTTGTATTAGTAAGAAAAAAAGGGGGTCTTGGAGAAGAGAGAGATACCTAAAAGCTGCAACATAGAGGCAAAGTTGGAATTTTGATCGTAGAGTAGAGTAACCTTCAATTCAAGGTAAGGATGAGGTTCTAACTCTGTAATTGAATATATGATGGATAGTATGTGGAGATTGGTTGTATGAAATTATCGTATGTTTAATTCCGTGTAAAATCATCGTTGTATGTTTGGATTGTAAAAATTGTTGTTATCCGTGTTTTGATTTTTGTTATGTGTTGAATCGGTAGATAATGTTTATAGAAATAATTGCAAATTACATGTCATGAATTATTGGAATTTGCAGAGTTGGTGTTGTGAATATTTGATGTTGGAACCAAATTAACTATAAATGTTACTGATATATAATTGATTATGAGTTTTAGTTGAAATTGTGCTTTGAGTTTTAGTTGAAATTGTGCTTTGAGGAATGATTCGAATTTAAGTTAAATTGGGGTTAAGAATTGTCTCTGTTAAATTCTGAGAGTATATGAAAATTGATGGAAAATTTTTGGTGAACTCTGTTGAAATTAGAAACTGACCAAAAGTTGCTGTGGCGAAAATACTCTGTTTCATGGGGCACAAGTATGTGTGTCGTGGAGCACATGAATGGTTATGCCTATAGTTAAGTAATTAATGATGATCCACTTGCATAATATATATAAGACTTTAGAAATAATATGTATATACTGTAAGTGTTACGTTTGGAAACTGATACTATAGCATCATTAGCTTTTATATATATATATATATATATATATATATATATATATATATATATATATATATATATATATATATATATATATATATATATATATATATATATATATATATATATATATATATATATATATATATATATATATATATATATATATATATATATATATATATATATATATATATATATATATATATATATGAATTTGTAAAAAAAATTTATTAAGTAAATCATCTTGAAATTTTGAAACACATTTTATAATAAAAAGTATTTCTTTTTTGATGGTCGAATATTTTGACTGAGTAGGATTCCATTTACCAGAGGTAAATCTAACCAAAACTTCTTTGGATGTTTCAGGTATAACCTGTTTTAGAATTCCTCCATATCTTAAATCTGAAGCATCAGTTTCAACGATTTTAAAATACTTGGGATTAGTCAGAGATAAGCAAGGAAAACATTTAACCTTGTTTTTAATTCTTCGGACCGCTTGAGAATGTTTATCAGTCCAAGGGTCAGGATTTTTTCTAAGTCTAACATGTAATATACTAGTATCATTAGCAAGATTCTCATAGTAATCGGCAATATAATTAAGACTACCAAGAAATCTTTGTAATTGTCTCTTATCAGTAAATATATCAGGGGACTTAGATGCAAATTCAATACTTCTTTGAATAGGAATAATAGTTCCTTGATCAATTTCATGCAAATTCAAGGAACATCATCAATGTAAACAATTATATATTCCGTATAAGGAATAAAAATATCATTCATAATATTTTGAAATTCGGAAGGGGCGTTCTTTAACCCAAACGGGAGGACATTCCATTCGAAATGTCCAAAAGGCACAGTGAATTCCGTTTTATAATTATCATCTTTATTAATCTGAATTTGCCAATAGCCAGATTTCATATCGAATTTCAAAAAGATTAAAGCAGTGTTTAATCTATCTAATAAATCTTTTTTATTAGGAATATGATATCTAATCCATTTCAACACCTTATTAAGTGGTTTATAATTGATAACAAGTCTAGGGACGCCGCGTTCTCTTTCAGCAGCATTATTAACATAAAAGCAGTGCAACTCCAAGGAGATTTAGATTTTCTAATTAAACCTTTCTCTAAAAGAGAATTTATTTCTTCCTTACATAGGTTTAAATACTCATGATTCATCTGGGCTGGTCTGACTTTAGTTGGAATCTGACTTTCATTAAAGTCATCTAGATAAGGTAAAGAAATAACATGTTTTTTCTATCCCAAAAAGCGTTTGGCAAATCATTGCAAACTTCATCTTTAAATTGTTGATCAATTAATTTGATTTGTCCTTTTATCTCATCTTTATTAAGTTGTTCATTAATATTTAATAAACTAACTTTTTCTTTAAGAAAACCTAATTGTTTTTCTTTATTTAAGAGAACACTTTTAACCTCATTAAGCATTTTAATATGAGGATCAGTAATGAATTCAAAAGTGACCTTCTTACCATTAATCATGGTGGTGATGCCTTTAGTGTCAACATTTATTAAAGCTATAATGCTATTTAAAAAAGAAGTTCCAAGAATAACCCTGTGAGTCATGTTTTTAACTAATATAAAATGGGTAGGTAAACAAATATCTTGATTGCAAACGTAGGTATTAGGTAATTTATAATTAACCGTTAATTTGTCACCATTAGCCTGAGCAAGGGTTTAAGTGGTTTTGGTATAATATTTGGTAGGAACAATTCCTTCCTGAAGACAATTAAGGTCAGCGCCGCTATCAATAAGAGCGACTTCATTTTGTAATATAAACGTTCTGTTAATAACTAAAGTTATTCTAACAAACCATTTTTGAGAAATTACTCTGTCAATCAGAGTAAGAAATCTATCATTAGTGGAAAGACTGCTAGTAGAAGATATTTCTTCAACTTTAGGGGTACCCGTTTCAAGTAAGGAAACCCTTTGAGATAATTTTTGATTATCCTTCTTTATCTGAATAATTTCATATTTCAAAAGATTAATTTCTCTGTTTAAATCAGTAAGGGAAACAGGAGTTTCACGGATATGAGACTGTTGAAATCTGGATAGAACCTCACTTAATTGGTAAGGGGCTTCAATAATAATAGGAGATTCTTATTTAGAGTTTTCTTGAATTAAAACTTCAAGCATTTTTCTTTTAAGATTATTATCAGAAATAGATTCAATAGCTTTTATAGCGTCATCCTGTTTTGCAGTAAGAACATTAAGACCGTTCATGTCAACAATAGACTTCCAATAATTTATTTGACTACATTGACAATTATAATTGTCAGAACTATCAGAGGAATAATTTGATGATGATTCATAGATCATGTCAATATCTTCATTAGAAAAATTGGTTTCTGAGTCAGATTTAAGTAAACAATCTTTCTCAAGTTGAGAGCGTAATTGCTCATCCTCGATTTTATTGAGAGCTTTTTTGTCCAACATTGGTTGGCATAGTGACCAGCTTTACCACATTTGTGGCAAGATACATCAAGCATTTTAGCTTTTCTTTTGCCTTTATGATTAAAAGTCTTTTCTTTTGGTCTACTTTTATTAAAGTGACCATGTTTCTTATTCTTCTTATAAGAGTTTTATAATTATCCTTATTTTTATGAGGTTTATTCCTGAAAATTTTTCCTTTTCTCTTTTTATTCTCAGGAGATCTTCCAAGATCAAAGGCGAACTGGTCGCAGAATTCACCCATTTGGTATTTTTCAGAAAGTTTCTGTTTTTTAAGCTGAGTTCTAAGCTTAATATCATTACATAAGGTTAATCCTTCATTAACACAAGTACTAATAATTTGATCATAAGTAAGATCAGGATAATTAATATTTATCCCATCATTTTTACTTCTTAAATAATGTCTAACTTTTTCAGAAAAGAAATGAGGTAATCCATCAATAAATTTGGCTTTCCAGTGGATAGAGTTAGGGTTTTTTAATTGATAAACTCTAGATAAAAAGGTATCTTTGTACCATCTAAAATGTGTAAGGGAGGAACATCTTAGATTTTAAAGTAGAGTTTGAATTTTTTTCTCCAATAGGGATATTGGTTCCAACAAAATGTTGAAGGATAAAGAGACACAGTGTATTAACCGCATCTTCTTCTCCTGTGGTGGAAATACCACTTCTTCCGATTCTAGGAACTTCGGACTTAACTATTTTCTTATGGTTAAGAATATCTTTTTTCGGATTATTAGTGAGATAATGATCCCACCAGCCTCTTAATTGACCAACAAATCCAGTTGATATAAAGGAGGCAATATCTTTGTCGGAATTTCCGTGCTGTTTACAAACATTAGAATACATAATCATTCTATGTATGGCATCAATGATTTTTTTTGTCATTTAATCCATCAATGTTCCATTCGTAAATGGCTTTTCCAGAATATGAATTTTGGAAGGGTTCAGGTTCCTCAAAAAGTAAATCTTGAGGAGAGGGGCGCTTATAATAGTATTTCTCCAAAGGTTTAGAGTTATAAATATAGTTTATTTCATTAGTATTTTGATTACTAATGTCTAAGTCAGCAAACATATTTGCTAAATCATTAATGTCTTCTTCATTAGAGGAGTCTTGATTAGACATAACCGTTAAATGTAAATCTTTAAGCTTTTTCTCAAGAATACGAACAAACTCATCTCTGTTGGTTTCCATTTTAAATCCTTTTATAGGAATAAGAGGTTGAATTATAGGAACATCTGAAATATTTGAGGCAGAAGCTTGTTCTTGAAATTTATGCTTATTAATAAGGTCAATAATAACCTTTTGACGAGCTATTTGTTTGTCTAAAAGGTCTTTTACGGATAAGAGCACTTTTTCTAGAGAAATAAATTGTTCTCCTAGACAAACAAGGTAGGCATTAGTATAATTATTAGATTTAATTATGGAATTTAACTCCTTAAGAGTAACCTGATTTTGTTCAACTCTTTGTAATTGAAGGGTAAGATAAGGTGTAGCCTCAGTATGAGGACCCAAACTTATGGTTTTCTCTGGGGGAAAAGGAGATTCCATTTTTTCTCCTTTAATATTTTCCCACGGTTTTTGTAGAACTAAAAGTTCGTCTTTTTTCATAAAAACTAATTCTTCTTTTTGTTTACTTATAAAGTAACTAATGAACCATTTGACAAAAGGAATGAAATCATGGTTCATAGACATTTGAGTATAGTACTCATCCTTAAAGTTAGCTAACACTGGAGCAGGAAAAGTTTTAAAAAACCATTTTCTAAATTGAGCGTATCTTTCATGCTGAAACTCGTCATTGACAAAGTTTCTTAGATTACTACCTGGGGAATAATCTAACATTATAACGGGAAGTCCATATCTGAGGGAGTAGGTGATTCTACTCTATGAGGATTTGGTTTTTGATATATACCATGGGGAATTTTGTTTTCGCTAAGTCTTATATTCTCAACGACTTCTATTTCTTCTCTTAATTGAGAAGTTGAAGGTCTAGCTAATTGACTAGGAGCAGTGTAAAACTCATCTATAAAATTTACAGAATCTCTTCCAGACATAGATCTAGGTATTCTAATCATTCTTTTAGAGTTAAAGTTTATCTCCAAATCTCTTTCATTAGTTTGGATTATTTGATCAACATCCTTATTAAGGATGGGTTCATGTTCTATGGCATGAGGAAGATTCCAGGTTTCTGGAAAATTAATTTCATCCCATTTTAGCAACCTATTAGTTGCAACATTAGATGTTAATAAATTAGTTTGAACTAAAGTAGTTGTTCCAGGAAACGATATTTGTTTAGCTTTAGGGTTTAAAGTGGTAAGAACTTTGTAATAAATCCTGTAACATATAGCCATAATTTCACTTCCAGGTTTAAAATTGTAACCATTGGTATGCATAGTTAATTGAAGAGCATCTAATAAATTTTTATCAAACATAGATAAGCTTATATTGGGAGAGACATCAAAATAAACTGGTCCATGACACAGGCTTGTCTCAATTATAGCAGCTAAAGATTGTTTAAAATCTTTACATCTACCATCTCTAATATATCCTAGAATGCTAGTATTTAATCCTAGCAAAGTTAAAGGTTTAACAGCCACTTGTATTAAACCAACATGGATATAATTATAATTTTTAAAAGGAAGTAAATCCTTTTTTTGTTAAAAGTTTGATTAGAATAATTTTGTCCCGCATGTCTTCTAAACTCATTTTATTCCACCATTTGTAGAAAAAATTTCTTTCTAGAATTGGAACATTAAATTTGTCACTGGAAATAGTGATGGTCCATCTCCAAATCCAAGGAATTTGAAACTTAGTGAAGAACAGAAATGGACATTGTACAATTATCAAATTTGATGAAATATTTAATACTAGTGGACTATTTTCGCACCAAGAAGTATACAATTCATTTAACTCTTTTGGAAAAATTTCTAGCGTAGGACCAAATTTAATCCACCGGGCATAAAACCAATTTGAAATGGGTTTATTAATCACATCTGGATTAATTGAGAAAAACCAAGAATGTTTGTTCTTAAGATTTTGGTAATAAAAGGCTTGGGTGAAAGCCTGGACATAGTCCCAATAATTGAAATAAATATATTTTTCTTCGGCAATTCTTATTGCCTTTTCACCATTAGGGTTAAGACCCCATTCTCTAGGTAATAAGATCTTATTAATGTGGCATTTTCTAAAGTTTATGAAACTTTCAGGATTGTTGTTTTGATAATGATGAGTAAAAGTTGTTGATTCAGTAACTGCTA